TTTGAGATGGAGTCTCAGTCTGTCACCCAGGCTGGAGTGTAGTGGCATAATCTCAGATCACTGCAAATTCTGCCTCCCTGGTTCAAGCAATTCTCCTGTCTCAGCTTCCCGAGTAACTGAGATTACAGGCACTTTCCCCTGTGCCTGGCTAATTTTTGTATTTTTAGTAGAGACTGGGGTTTCAGACTGGTCTCAAACTCTTGACCTCAGGTGATCCACTTGCCTTAGCCTCTCAAAGTGCTGAGATTATAGGCATGAGCTCCTGTGCCCAGACAATGACTTCTGTCTTGCTAACAGACTCTCTATTGCCTTTTCAGCTTGTATGCTTTGATGAAAAAGCTGTGATTTTGGAAAAGCTCATGCGTCAAAAAACTGAGACAGTCTCTAACCAATAGACAGAAAGGAACTCAGGCCCTCGGTCTAACAGCCTTTCACACTCCAGCCTTCAGATGAGAACTCAGTTCTTGCCAGTACATTGATACACTGATTCCAGCCTTGCAAGGGACTCTAACTCAGAGAATCATACCAGTATTCCTGACCCACAGAAATGGCAAGATAATAAATATGTGCTGTTTTAAGCTGCTAAATTTTGTCGCAATATTTACAAAGCAAGAACTAATTAATTTAATTTAGGACTAATAATACACTTGCATTTTTCCCCCAAATCTTTTCCTAACAAATCTTTTAATTTGTAATTCAAGCATTCATTTAGTAAATATTTATTAAGAGTCTATTTTGTGCAATTATTGTTGCTATAGTTAATATAAAGGCTGGGAATATCAATCAGAGAAAGACCTCTCCTCAAGAAGACTAGTACACGTAGGTAAGATGTGCTCACAAATAATTAAAACAAGGTAGAAGCTACATGCTAAGTCACAAAGAATAGCTGGAGATGGTCTATCAAGAATATGTGGTGGAAGTGCATTGAATTGTGTCTTGAACAGCAGGTTGGGCAAATAAAGATACACAATGGACTGTTTATAAGCAAATACATGGAGGTGAGATTGTGGGGCATGTACAACAGATGATAAACAATTTCTGTGACTACAGGTAGGACACATTTAGGGTAAAGGATACATGCAGGTAGAGAGAACTGGAGAAATTGGTTGGTCCATATTGGGAAGCTCCTTGAACTGTGGGCAAAGGGCTAAGAGTTGGTGCTTTTTAAAACATTATCCAAACTCAATGCCAAAAATAATACAGTCCCAATTTCCTTTTTGAAACCTTCCTCATTCCATATCTAATACTTTTAAATACTGGGCCAAAGGTAAAAACTTCCTGTACTTTTACCATGTCTCTCAGTTCGTTCAAGATTACTTATCTATTGAGTTGCTCTGAAATGGCTCACTGTATTTTATAATGCAATTTGAAGGCCCAAGTATCATTGAAATTGAGAAACTAAAGCCATCTACAAAGTATTGTATGCATTTTTACTATGTGTGGATTATTGTGGTGACTCTCTGCATTTGTTTCCAGTACAGAAAAAATTCCTACATTTTTCCCCCCCAGAATGTCACTTGCTTGAAGTATCTTCATTTATTCATCATGGTTTGGAAGAAGGTCACATGGCTGCAAAATATGTATTTATGTCTAATTTGTACACAGCTTTCTGCTTGTAATTTCATTTAGGGTAGCTTAAATGGCACTTGAACAGACAATTTTTACTTGTACATTTACCAGCATGAAATCACTTTGAAAATCCATTCAAGAACATCTTGAAATTAGTCTCCACTGGAGGCTATCTCTACATAATCTCTGCTAGTTACAAAATTCTTCATAGAGATTCTCAAGGAGTTTCAAAAGCTTTCTGCTCACCCAGAAGGATATGGCTCATTTTATAGTCTTTCATATACTACTTTAGAGAAGCACACAAACTTACCATCTTCCTCGCCTAACCGAAAAAGTGTATTGAGATCCTCTGGACTTGTGCTTTCATAGCTATTTTAAACACACATAACCAGGCATCCCCCCAGACTTTCAAAGTATCAACAAATAGTGTTTTTGAGCTTGTCTCTCCCAATTTTGTACTCTGTACATCTAATTACACTTGTAGAACGCATAATACTATGACACCAACTATCAAACCACATCACCATCCCCACATCTTCCCAGCTAAAATCTGCTTACAATTCAGCGTCACAATTTGATTTTTTTTTTTTTATTGATGATACTTAAGCAGCTGGGAGAATTAATGGAGTTCAGCAGAGGCCACAGTCCTAACCATGGTTTGTAATTGATATCTGGGAGGCCGCAGCCTTTCCATTCTGCAAAAGCAGTCTAATTAGTGAGGCCTGCATGTCTGTGCAAGGCAGGAGGAGGAGGCAGTGGAGGAGGAAACCTGAGGTCCCCTGAGGGTTTGAAATTGCTCGGCTCTTTCCTATCAGCACAGTTCCACAGAAGCAAGAGAGGCAGAGTGCTTCCAGAAGAGACAGATTGTTCAAACGTCTTTGCAACATGTATTGTTGTAGATATACGTAACACAGTATTTGCAACTTATAGTCATCATTCTCCAATTAATGTTCAAAAGAGTTTAGTGGTTTACTCCTTGAACCCTGAAGTATATAGAACATAATTTATTCACTTAAAATTTAACTTGTCAGTATAATTCACTTTGGAATATTTTTAAATGGTAAGTTCCTTGATTCACCTAAAAATTACTTTATAATGCAATCAACAGAATTATTTTTGAAGTAAGTCCCTTTGAGGCTTATTTGATTTTTTAAATTATTTTTTAAAATAATTTTGTATATACATAATAAAATGGTACAAAGTCTGAAGAATTAAGGAACCATCTTTATATCATTCAACTTATTTGGTGGAGACCAGACTGGGAGAAAGGGGAAGAGTTTTGATAACTTAAAGAGCTGTATAGGCCAGACACAGTGGCTCACGCCTGTAATCCCAGCACTTTGGGAGGCCAAGTCGGGTGGATCAAGAGGTCAGAAGTTTGAGACCAGCCTGACCAACAAGGTGAAACCCATGTCTACTGAA